AGTGTTCGATGACGCCTTTGGCGAGCATTTTCTCGACCTCTTTCTGGATGACAGAGCGTTCGGCAGCGGAGACGCGGTAAGGGCGGCGATGAATTGGGTTGGCATCGCCGGTGTTGATGTGATGGGTCACAACTGATGTCTGGCCTAAAGGGCGGTTGTCAAGATCGAATATGTCCGCATAGGATGTCGACAGACGGCGGAGGTCTTGTGCTTCGGAGGGCGAAAGATCTGGCGTTATCATTTTGGCAATGTCAATTCTTGACAGGTTGGGCGCAGTGAGCAAGTTGACGTGCGGAGTAGGTTGCTGAGCCGACAGTTCAGAAATATCACACTCTTGCAACGACGACATGACGCCTAGTTTAATACCAGCAGGCAGCACGTGCGCGGGGAAACCAAAGTTCAAAAGAGACAGGTGGGTCTGGTTGTGGCATACTCTCACCACGGTGTGCGGGACAGCAATGGAGTGCTTTAGCACAACGTCGGTAATAGGTGAAACGACATATTCACCATCGCGCACAGGCGGATCACACACAAGCTGCACGTAAGTCGAGGCTTGCGGCGGAAGATGCAAAAACTCGGTAGCACAAAGGCGACTTTGAGCATCACGGGCAACAGCGGCGTCAAAAGGCAGTTCTAACTGAAGAAGACCCGTCGAGCAGTCGATAAGGGCGGAGTGCGCAGAGAGAAAGTCGAGGCCAAGAATCACGTCCTGTGGGCACTGCTCAAGCACGGTGAACAATACGACGGTCTGGCGCCCAGCAATACACACGTCAGAGGTGCACATGCCGAGAACGGTAGATGTGCTCCCATCGGCAAGCATTACTGCACACTTAAGAGGAGGCGTGATCACTTTTCGCAGTTTAATACAGAGAGCAGCGCTCATGACTGAAATTTGTGCACCAGTGTCTATGAGGGCTGCAACGGTAACGTCATCCACCAAAAGGTCCAAAATATTGCGGCGTGTAGGAATTGTCAACAGAGGATTTGCAGAACAGTCGTTAATGCAGCGTCACCTCCGGGAGCTGCATGGTCTAGTTTCCCGAGGTTGAGGGCCCAGGTAGTGCAGGGGACCTGGATCGAGAAATCATCGGCGAGAGAGATCGGCGGCCTTGGGGTGATGGTGACCGGCTGAACCTTCGGCCCTGAACGTTAGTAGGGGCAGGCTGTGGATCGTACGGAGTAGAAAAGCGGCGAGAATTGTCTTCAAAGCGGCGCCATGTCCCAGTGTTCCAAGATGAATTGAATGTCCAACGATTGCGACAGTAGCGTGCAATGTGGCCGGCGCGAGAGCAGCGAAAGCAGATCGGTCTATCATCCGACGTTCTCCATTCAGCAGGGTTCCGGTAGCGGGAAGGGTAGCGTGAAGGGTACACCGGAATCTGGTTAACAGAAGCCGAGCTCTCGGTAGTGCGAACAGCGCAAACAGGTGCGATGCCGAGATTTGCTATTTCTTGGTGAATGACGGCTTGGATGAGGGACACGGTGGATGCGTTGTCTTGAGGACCGTCAGAGGCGGTGGCTGCAGGAGTCATTGCTTCGAGTTCGCGGCGAACGATTCGGGTGACATTTTTGGACGATGTAGCTTGCGTGAACTTGGGGCTGTCTTCGCAGGTCGAAGTGGCTGCAGTATTAGGCAGACGCGCAAACTGGCGGGTTATGCGACGGTTCTTGGCGTGCTCGAAGCGCTGACATTCCTTCACAACCGCGTCGACGGTGGCGCAATCTTTAACGATCAACAGATTGAAGGCGTCATCGGCAATTCCCTTTAATATGTGAGCGACTTTGTCAGTTTCGCTCATGTTCTCGTCCACCTTTCGACAGAGGCCCAGTACGTCCTGTATGTAAGATACATATGATTCTGTCGATGTCTGCACGCGACATTCCAGGTCTTTCCTCGCGGCCTGCTGTCGCCCAAATGGCCTGCTGAATAACTCGAGAAGCTTCAGTTTGCAAACGTCCCAGCTGGTCAACTCCGACTCATGCGTCTCATACCAGGTGAGCGCCGGATCCCGCAAGTAAAATACAACGTTGGCCAGCATCAACGTAGGGTCCCACCTATAGTATTCGCTCACGCACTCGTACAAAGCGACCCAATTTTCAACATTCACCTTGTCCTTGTCTGTGCCCGACAAGGTTCCGGGGTCTCGTGGAGGCAGGAGAATCAGAGGAGGCAGCTGCTGCTGGTGCTGGTGCTGCTGGTGCTGCGGTTGCTGTTGCTCTTGTGGGTGGGCCTGTTGAGCCATTGCAGGAAAATGAAGGTGGCGACCACTCCGAAGTTGCGTGTTGGTTTGCCGGAAAAGCCAGGAAGGCGTACCCAGCACCTCCACCAATAATCTTACAAGGAAACGTATATTTACAGATATTTACGACGATTACACGCGATGACAATGCCTGGCACACTGGCGGGCTGGAATCAGTCTCTATCCACCTCGTAGTCTTTTCTTTCAGCCAGGGACCCTCTACCGCTTTATGCCCCAATCCCACTACTGCCTTGTGGCACTATGATTATGAGAGACGCCGTAGTAGAGAGCTCCGGAAATTTGAACCACCTGGGATTCTTTAACGTGCAACCAAATCTGAGCACACGGGCTTACAGCATTTCCGCCTCCATCGGAAATGCAGCCGCCGCAGGCGGGATTCAATCCCGTGACCTGCGGGTCAGCGGCCGAGTACAGTAAGAGCTCGTTTATCCAGACCTCGTTAACTCGGAAATTCGGTTAACTCGGACTCACGGCGTGGTGCCGGCAAAACTGTGTATATTTCAATGAGGTCAAATGCTCATTAATCGGAGGGATTTAGCCGCGCACCGGTTATCTCGGACAACTCCGGAGAGGGCTATCGGGACTCCAGAGTCGCGCGATCTTGGCGGCTCAAGCACCGCTTGCCGTAACCGACGGCAGAACCGGAGTTTTGGAGAGAAACCAAAACCTAGCAAACTGCAGCAGAATATGACGATGATGATAGTGAATGAGGGGGAAGTGGCTAGGTGGCGCTAGTCACCACCCGGCAAATGCGCTTGGGCCACCAGCGCATTCAGTGTATACTAACAGCTGCTCGCTACGCCCATGCTACGCCTACTGGTGTACTACTTCGTGCCTTGGTTCTTTGTGTTGTGACTTTGCGTGTTGCGGCTGTGCTTGTGCGCGTTGTCGCCGCCGTCGCGCTTTAAGGCGACCGTCACAGGAGTTAAGCGGCCACAGCAGCCAGCAAACGATCTAGAAAGAAAGGATATGATATTGAAAGACGTGATGAGCCGACGCGACGTAGCCGCACCGTGCAGGAGGCCGCCGAAGCCCTCGCTGTCCTTGAGGAGTTCTGCGTTTGTTCTCGCGACAGCGAACGTGCCCACCACCCCCTGATGGGATTAAATAAGATAGTTCTGTCAGAAATCCTGATGGCGAGGCAGGCAAAAATAACGCACTTTTTCAAGAAATAAAGGTTCGTCTGTGCCGTGTACGTTTTCCTTTTGTTTTCATGGTCCGTTCGATAATTTGGAATTTGGTTAACTCGGACATTTTCTCTGGTCCCATAAGATTCGAGTTAACGAGGTTTTACTGTACCTTAGCCACTAGACCACCGCGGCGGGGCCACAATGAGGATGTCTTTTCACATCACATATGTGTTACACGCCAACACCACCAAAGGCTATCAAAGTAGAACAGCATATAGTCAGATATCATTGCTGACAAGTAACACGCAGGTATCGTTGAATTTTAGTTCATCGTAGACTTTGCGACCGTGTAATACCGTGTTACTGCCGCCGCAACCGAGAAAGGCTGGATAGGTGGGGCCATATGGAGGCACAAAGAAGAACATGGTAAGCAGGGAACAAATTCTACTTCTCCACTGATGCTCATTCCCGATAGCATTACTGAACGCTGAGCATGCCAAAACACACCAATATAGCTAACTGAGACACACGAGCGAACATGGCTGAAGCATGCATCCTCGGGCACCTCTTCAGTGCTGCTTGGAGCGGCCTTAATTTCGGAGTTACTGTTCTGTAAAAGGTCGATCGAAGCAAAAATAATTCTAGACGTCACGAATCGCGGGGATTCCAAGCTTCAGGCTATGTACGGCGACGACGGCAATGCAGGTGACAAGGCATGACTGAATGTGTCCGCCAAGCAGACGAAATGTTTGCGGAGCAGCTGAGCCTGACGTCACTCTTTTCTGTGGAGAAGTGGTCAGCTGTGGCGCGATCAGGAAGCAACCGCGAGGTAGCGCTACTGCTGGTGCTCCCAGCGCTAAAAATGGCGGGATTGCGGGCCGTCTTGAATTGTGCTAGATACCAGTGATATAAATCAATAGAAGTGATAGTTATCCATCTTTCAGTTGCGTTTTAGGTCGCGAATCGCTGCTACGAGGTTTATAGCTACTCGCTTACGCAAAAATCTTGGCATGAGTAAATTTGATGTCAGTGCTCCTTCAAATAGAACAACCACTTCTGATATGATCGGTTTTGTACCTAAATACTGCAATCCTGCTTATCTCTCAAAAATGAGACTGCTGCTAAAGGAAACATTTTCCTGGTCCCTTCAGGTTCCGTTTAACGAGTGTCTACTGTACTACCACACAAAAAAATTGCAAGAAGTATAACTACGCTACCAACCTGCACAGCACTGCATCATTTCCATCCTGCCCTATCAAACCCTATCAAAATTAATTATTGTTCTTCTCCCCCTCCCCCTCCCTGTCTCACCACCAATTGGAGTTGGTTCAGAATTGAGCTTAACTAAAAAATACATATATATGAATTCTAGTGGTGGCTTCATGGCAGTACTTTGCAGAAATACACAGGGATCATTTTTTAAACAATTTTCTGTGCATCCTTAAGGGCAGCACTTGCACATGACAAAACCTGGTGCCTAGAGATAGAAGTCCTCCTTGACTGATAACTTGAAAACCAACGCTTTCTTTGACAAGCTACGGCTACATTATGGCAGTTCAGTAGCAGTGCATCCATGACAAAACTACAGTGCAGTAAATGAGTGGCTTACCTCGCCCAGATGGTCCCCTGGGATGGTGGTCCATGGGATGGTGGTCCATGGGAGGGTCCCTGTTTGAATGCCCTGGCATCTGCAAAAAACATAAAATGTAATTTCAAATAGGTTAAAATTTCTACTTCCCTCGCTGCTCTTTGAACACTGTCTTGGCCATAAAGGGCATTCTTACAAAATTTGGTCCACATTGTCCATCGGTGTTCTCCTACCTACAGTAGACTCTCAGTAAACAAAGCCTGAAGGGACCGAGAAAGTATGTTCCATATAACAGGAGTTTCGTTTACTGAGAGGTGAACGTGGGTGCAGTATACAAGCCCGAGACCAAGTATTGCAGAGGCAATAGTTCCGTTTAAGCAGTAGTTCCGTATAACATATTATCGTTTACTGAGAGTCTACTGTACTTCAAGATCTTAATCCAACCTAATACTGCCACTTACCAGCACAGCGATGTCACCAACTGTTAGCAACTTCAGTCCTCACATCAGACAGAAGTTCTTAATTGCAAGGGCTTCGTTTAAAATACACACTCACAGATAAGCAGAAACTGGTAGTCTTTCCATGCTCACATTGTTCAGGAAGAAAGTGGGCACGACACACTCACTGCGAATGCTTGTGTGCAGTACAGAAAGCAGTGGCAGGGTAAGCTTCGTAGGCGACAGGCTGCACTTCAATGAATCGTCGGAAAGTTTCGTACAGTGGCACATCGTTCACACGTGCACACACTCGCATCAGTGAAATTCAGACCCGCCGACGACTCTGCCGCTACAGCTTTTGCATTCTGCATCTCTATTATCTGCAGCATTTGCCACAAGATGCAAATGTTTAATTGGTAGCTGGCACGCAGTTAATCACAAGAGCCTGTGCCGAAATGCCTAATAAGCGTATTGCTATTCCTTTAGCACAGGGGGCTCAAACACATGGCCCACAAACCTCCCATTTGCAGCCCGCGGCCCGAACGTAACTATGTTCGTCCCATACACAGTCAAAGCTCATTATAGCAAAATTTATCTCACAAAAAAGTTGTGGGGGTAATATCACCTCTGTAAAGTCGTTTGTGCCCCGTGGCGCATACGTGTCTCACGGAAGAGCCGCATTTAGGGTTAACAGTCATCGAGCGGTAGGTAGTGCAAGAACTGATGCCTGGCGGTGAAGCTAAGTGGCCGGACAGAAAAGATTGGCGAGTCTCTTTGGTGTGCGGCAGCTGGCGCGAACGGTTGCCTCCCACGGCAGGCCGGTGGGGACGGTGCCACGGGTTGTTCCCCGTGGGCCCCTCGTGCCAAGTAGAACGTTGGGGGCGCTGCTTTTGCGCTACCTTGTGTTTAATGTTGTTGATTGAGTGTATTGGAATACTGTATAAGGTTGTGCTCAGCGTACTGTCCTCTAGTGATGTATTTCATTCAGCTGGAGATATAATTGATGTGAAAGTAGTTACATAAATGCGGTGTTCGGTTTGGTCTGGCCGGATCTGCTGTGTGCGTTCGAAAGTAGCATATTTATTCGAAAATCAGTTGACCTTTTTTTCCCAAATATGTTGTTCATATAACCAGCTACCGACCTACATTCGTGAAAAAATCTCGACCTGCATTCACGATTAAACCAACCAGAAGCGCCGAGCTTGTCGAATTCAACTACCGCGCCCGCTGTTCTTCAAGCAGTTACCGCGGCACATGCAAGTTATATACCGTAAAATCTGAAATAAAGACCCCCCTCCTCCTTTCATCCTACCTAAGTAATTGAGAAAAAAGTTATTCATGCAAAAGCAGCGTACCCCCCCCCCCCCCCCCCCCCTGCGAAATGCAGCCGCTCCACCGTGTTTGCGATGAAACCCCCGATTTTTTTAGGTACTGGCCTTGAAGTCCTTAGCCCGCTAGCTGTGCTTCCAGTACTGCTTTCCGGCGCGCAGTCACACTGACACTGGCCTGAGGCCTCGTGCTTTGTTTATGCAGTCGAAACCTGCAATAACAAAACCCCGCGAGTACAAAATCTCCGCGGCAATGAAATATTTCTGGATCCCCGGCGAACATTCATGGAAGCCTATGTATTACGTATCTCGCGGCAAAGAAATGGTTTTGGACAGCGATTCCGCATTAGCGAATTTTCTACCACGGTGCAGGCCTTATTTTACCTTCCAGCTAAAGGTTAACTGTCGAAAATATGCTCGTATGCGTGTTATGCGCACTCAAAATTTGTAAACGTGTGCTTTTGCCACGCTAGCATGGGTACCGCCATTTTTATTTACTTAAATCGGCGATGGGGCCTGTGTCCGGCAATATGCCTGGCCACACTGCAGCAGGCGATGGCAAATGATCATGCTGGAGTGCAGATGGCGCCGTCGGACGAACTCAACAGACAGGAGAACTGCTCCAAGCATGCGGACTTCACCACCACCGTGCAAGCATCGCGCATGGATTGCGCTTCAACCTCACTAGACGAATATTTGGACAAAGGCGCACTTGACGGCGAAAGTGGTGGCAGTGCAGTGCCTCTATCCCTGACCAACACCGGGGGGAACTTCGAGCCATCGACATCGACATCGACATCCCAGATGAACTCACTGTTGATGCGTTCGTTCGCGCCGATGACGACGTAGTCATGTACGAGGAAGTGACCGACGAGGCCATTATCGAAAGCGTGCGCGAAGCTGACGAAACCGAAGACCAAGAAGAGATGCACGCGGAGAAACCCAACCCACGGGTTGTTTTGGATGTGCTGGACAACCCTTCGCTCCTTCTTCGGCGCACATGACGACGACGTAGCAATGGACCGCTTTTTCCAGCGCAAAGGGAGAGCTTTGAAGTTGTTGCATGGCAAGGGTCGGCAAAGTAAGTTGACCGACTTCTGGCAATAAATTTTCGTTCTGCTGGCCGCATAACTGTTTTTACGTCTCATAATCGCGGCATCGAAATCCTCGCGAAAACAGAATATTTCGGTTTCCCGGCGATTTTGCTATTGCGAGTTTCGACTGTAGTGCGATCAGCGTGACAGTTTGCAAACTAAAAAAAAAAAAAAATGACAGCATATCCACGAGGTGAATGATGAGAGTGGGGTGAAGTGGGGTCCACAGGCCGCTGCCGCGCCGCTTTGACCTCCCGTTGTCATACTGCTGAGTCCTCATGGCGCGCTAATGCCTCACGCGTCATGTCGGGGCCGTTTCTTCGAGCGCGAGCCGCCAGCCCCCTGCGGGCACGCTCCTCTGCAGCCTTGTCGATTCTTCGTCGCCGATCCTGTGAAAGCGCGCGCGGCAATGCGGCGCTTTTATTGTACTAGGGAGTTCCCCCATGGCATACGGCGCTGCCGAAAAACACACGATCGTAGTCACGCGATCGTCTCTCTTTGCTTCCGTACGTGTGACGTCAACCCTTTTCTACAAGTAAAGCCCTCTAGTGCGTACCATTTGCGTTTTTCAGCGTATAGTACAAGTATCGCCTCTATGGCTGGTTCAAGCATTAACGAGGGGAGGTTACCCACAACGAGGATGCACAAGCCCCGCCATAAGGAGCTTCGCCCCTTTAAAAAAAAACACATTGGTCGACCTATATTCGAATATTTTTTTCCCCTCTCGTAAAACACTATAAGTAGGAGTCTATCTATATTCGTACCCAACCTATTTTCGAGTAAGTACAGTATTGTTTTGCGACAATGCATACCAACTAACCCTCCCTGTCCCCCACCACTCTTGCATTCCCCCTTACCTGGCTCTTGCCAAACTGAATCCTGCGACTGCGGCTCGCTGCCTGACAAATTTAGGACACCTTTTTTGGAGCTACTTTGAATACGGCTATGATGACCTGACCACTTGACCAAAGTAAGGAAATATGAATTTGTTTTTCACCACACCTTGCTGTCTTTATGGAGTACGAACAATCAATCACAGACTGTTATTACACTTGGACTCGGTGGTAATTCTAAAGTAGCCAATGAGTAGTAAACATTTTTAATATAAAAGATTACCAGCCCAAGAAAGTCAGACCGAGCGGGAAAAGCACCCTACCAGGACCAAACACGCTGCCACTCACCGCGATCGGCCCAGTGACGCGCGTCGTGATGGTGCGAATGGCGCACACACTCTCCTCGCCGTTGCCAAGAGACGAAGGGCTGCCACTCCCCGTCGGGAGCGCGTGCGGCGGCGAGCTCTCGTCGTGGGAGCGGTGTTGGGGCGACATGGTCAAAGCCTCGTCCAGGCTGGGCCCTGCGGGCTCCTCGGGATTCTCATCCGCGAGAGGCGTTCCTGGCGGGTTCTCGCCAGGCGTGCTAGAAAGTAGAGAAAAACGAAAAGCGGGACATCTTAAAAAACAAAAAGGCTGTTGCGCGTGCACTTTGGCCAAGCAGACCGAGTGACAAGACATGCTACCTGGCAGCTGCAGTTACATCGCTGGTCGGGCACTGTGCTTCGACAGAGGTGGAGAAGGCGCCGGCTGACAAGCCGGTAGAATGAAAGTTTAGTTACAGTAAATGTGCAATACATTTTAAAGGCGCACTGACATCAAATTTCAACATCGAGATGATCGATCGCTTGGTATGCATAGGTCTTCTTAGCCAAATTCGAATGGCATCCATCGCGTTGAAGTTATTTTAATTCGATGTCAAACAGCGTAGAAAAGCTAAGGAGAAAAAAACGAAAAATAGACTGCCCTGCGACATCGACACTAGTGCTACGTGTTCGGTGCGATACATTCCACAAATACCATACTGAGTGACTATGCCCTAGAAGCGATGACGTGTACGATCCGAGTGTTCTTATTGTGGCGCCGAAGTGCAGAAACCTACTCGCTTGTCGCGTCTGATCTTCGTCACACCGGTTTGAATGATTTCGTGAAATCCTCAAGATAAAAACCACCTTTAAAGGGACGAGAAAAAAGAGCATGAGTAAACGTGTGCTTGTTCGGCAGCATGTCGGGGAATCATTGTGAGTTGCAGTCGTCTAGTTCGAATCATGTAAAAGCGCAATGAGGTTGTCTTTTCATATCGCGTATGTGTTACACATCAACACGACCACAAGCTATCAAAAATAAAACAGCGCATAATCAGGTATCATCGCTAACAAGTAACATGCAGGTATCATTGAATTTTAGTTCATCTGTAGACTTTGCGTCCACGTAAAAGTGGTAATATTGTGTTAATTGCGAGTGGATAGATAGGTGAGGCCATCTGGAGGCACAAAAAAGGAACTTGGCAAGCAGGAAACGTATTCTATTTCTCCACTGATGCTCATTCGCGATAGCTATATTGCATTGACCCCTCCGCGTATACCTGAATGCTTTTCAAACCAAAACACACCAATATAGCTAAACTGAGACACACAAGCGAACATGGCTGAAGCGTGCATCCTCGGGCTCCTCTGCAGTGCTGCTTGTAACGGCGTCTATTTCAGAATCGCTGTTCTGCAAAAGGTCGATCGAAACAAAAAATTGGAATCGCAGGGATTCCAAGTTCCAGACTATCGTATTGAACTCGAGTCGACACTTTGTAGGGCGACGACAGCAACGCAGGTGACAAGGCATGACTGAATGTGTCTGCTCAGCAGACTAAATGTTTGTGGAGCAGCTGAGCCTGACGTCACTCTTTTCTGTTGAGAAGTGTTCAGCTGTGGCGTGATCTGGAGGTGACCGCGAGGTAGTGCCACTGCTGGTGCTCCCAGTGCTAAAAATGGCAAGATTGCCGGCCGTTTTGAATAGTGCTAGATACCAGTGATATAAACTAATAAAAGTGATAGTTATTCATGCCTCAGTTCCGTTTTAGGTCGCGAATCACTGCTACGAAGTCTATAGCTACTCGCTGATGCAAAAATTTTGGCATGAGTAAACTTGATGTCAGTGCTCCTTTAAGGTACAGTAAAATCTCGGTATAACGAACACCACTTGAACGAACTTTTCTGATGAAGGAACTTTTAAAAAATCCCACGCTGACTGCTAATAGTTTATACGTAAAGTTATTTCACTACTACATATTTCAGAATACCAAACTTTTTCAGAATAACAAGCACTAATTTAGTTCGGCGTTATATTAACAACACCTCAGTACTACAGACTCGTGTTCCAAAATCCGTTGCAACCACGGGAGCGGTACCCAAGCAGGTGACACAGCAAACGAATGCCTTGCTTCTCGGAAGATGCGAGACGCTGTGGAGGGACAAAGAAAAACAAAAGGACGACTTTCTTTTTATTGAAACGCCAGTGCTGCAGGTTTACAAGTGCAGAGGAGAGGGGCGAGGGCAACACAAGAGGGCAAGGTCAGCGAGGCAGAGGCAGAGTGGGAGCATGGGCGCGGAATACCCGAGGCAGCGAGAGAGCAGAAAACAAAACGCGAGGAAATTTTTTTTAGCGCTTTCTTTTCTTCAGAAGAGGCGATGACAGCTGCGACGCTTCGGATTTTTTTATATTTGTCACTTCAACATGTGACCTAGGAGGCCGCAAGGGTATAGGTGTTCTCTGAAGAGGCCTTGTCAATTGTGTTTTTTTCGGTGATTGCTTATCGCGTCCGCACAGCAAGTCGGCGTTCGCGCTGCGGTGCTATTACAATGAGTTCATCTCTGCTTGCGACGAAGAAGCGGAAGCAGTTTTTGCTAAGGAGAAAGTGGAGAATGTGGATGAGCTGGAGGCCTTCGCGCTGCAAAGTTTGTGCTGCATGCGTCAAAAAAAAAAAAAAAAAAAAAAAAAGACTTCTTTAAGGAAACGTGCACTTTTTGGTGTTCACTTGTGTATTTATTTTTTTATATTGAAAAACGAGTTCAAGGAACCACCGTTGCAAAGGTAAGTTGTTTTGGTCGGTGGAAAATAAGTATTTGTGATTAACTTTTGGGCTTTCACTATAATGGCCTTTGAAAATAATGACAAATCCCCGCGATCCCCTGAAGTTCTCTATAACGAGATTTTACTGTATGAGGCCAAATGACGGAAACTTCTTTCCAAAAAGCAAGAACCATTAGAGATTATTAGTTGGCAATATAAAGCACATCTTTCTAGGCACATATGCGCATTATAAAGCAAGTTGTATATTTCATTATTTTTCATATTCAAAAAGTTCCATTAATAGCATGCCTTGCGCGAATACTCTTAGCTCAAGTTCCACTCACTGAAAAAAACTGATTTTTTACGGGACATATACAATGTAGTATTGACCGGTGCAATGAACCGGAACGAATGAGATCTGATGAGTAATAAAAACAGTAATTATCTAGCCAAAAAAAGTATGCATTCGCACTAAGGGCACCTCAGTAGCACAGGCAGCCATATTAAATCTTATGGCAAGATTTTGCTCATTGAGACTCCTCGCATGCCTGCTAGAGTGATAAGGAAGAGGGCAAAGTTTCAAAAAAAAATTTTCATTAGCAAAAGAGTTACGGCTGTTCACGGCCTCCCTACTTTATTCCTTTTCTCAAGCGACATGTCTTTTTTTTTTCTAGCTTTTGTAGCATCACTGCCATCACAGGGCGGTTTGGCACTGCGGTGCTGATAATTTGTAAGGCGTGCTTTCCCAGTGTAAGGGCCAGGCTTGATATGAATATGCTATCATTATCACATGTGCTTCTGTTCCCAATACTGAATTGCAACACATCGTCAAAAAAAAAAAAAAAGAAAACCACATTTGATGGTTTACAGGCTCACATACGTGTCCTTGAACGGTAACAAAACATGTACCACCTTACGCGCTCACCTTGTGAGACGTTCATGACTTTACGATTGAAAATATTGTGCTGACGATGCTTTTAGAGCATCATGACATGTTTTCACTTCATATGATTGCTGAATAGCCTACAAAATACGACACATCAAGCTAATTTATGGTTCACACAAAACTGGCGCTTTCAGTTTCGGTTTCGTAGGAGGTCCATGATCTAACATTTTAGCTTGCATCTTTTTAAAAAGACGGCGTTGACAGAAGCTTTATACCGCGAAATGATGAGCAATAAATTGCCCATTTCACACAATGAAAACCAAAACAAAGGACATTTTGAGAAAAAATACGCTTTTCCCACTTGGCCTCGTACCTTGAACTCAATATAACAGACCCGGATGTAACGAATCACTAGTTATACCGCAGTAAAAGAAAAACAGCTCTGTCATAGACACAATGCTACAAATACATGTTTACACAGTTGAACCCCTATATAAGGGACACTCGTAGAAGAGACAAATAGGTACAAGATACACCAGTGTGCCTACAGTAAAATACGGGTTGATAAAAAAATGCATATCAGGTACCCTGCTTAAAACAGACATCTCAAATAAGAAACAAGAACTGCTGCTTGGAGCATGCCTTTTACAAAGGTGTTTAACTGTAACAAATTTCCAGATATAACGAAGTATTTTTGTGGCAGGTGTGAGTTATGAGATTGAAGCTTAAAAGAAGCGGGTGAAGGAAAGAGGTAAAGAGAAACATGATAAGAGAAACAGAAGATGGGTAACAGCTGAGCAATGAACTACACTTCACCGGTACACTTCAGTTACACAGCTACTATACTACGAGGTTCCTGGCTACAATAGCACTCACACTTAAACATGTTGAGTTTTGCTTTCTACGGTCACTTGCCCTTCAGCCGTTTTACATTCTGAAGAAAAGATTGGCAAGAAAAAAAGAGAGAAAATGCGTATGTCGTACCCTGCTTAAAAGAGACATCTCATATGAAAGAAAGGAACTGCTGCCTGGAGCATGCCTCTTATAAAAGGGTTATCACATATATTGTGTTTAATCAACACAGCATTGCATTCCCATGAAAGGTCCTTTTCCCTATTCTCCTAGAAGCTGAATTCAAAGTGAGAACGTGCTACAAAGAAGCCTCAATATAATAAACCCTTTTATAACAAAATATCGGTCATAACGAAGTAAACAAAGAATAGTCTTGCAATGGATGCATTGTTAGGAATATAGCTTTATATTAAATTTCTTGCTATAACGAACTTACTTTCGTGTAATATGCAACTTCATTGTAATGAGCTTAAAGTGCATTATAAAACATATTCATCTAAATCGAACGTTAAGTGCATGCAAGACAAGTTATGTAGTGGGAGCCTTAGTAGCAATGAGTGGCCATCAGTGGACATCACACACAAGCCAGCTGACTCACCCGACGGCCGGGCTTCGGCTCGTGTCGTCCAAACTGGCCGCTCCTGCCACTTCCAACTTGGCGCCACCGTCGACCTTTTCTATGGGCGTCTCCTCCTCTGTGCCGCTTGCCGGGCTCTTCTTCACGGGCGACGCCGCTGGCTTGTCGGCTGGTTTGTCCACTGGCTTGTCTGGTTCCTGTTCGTCTGGCTGCTGCGTAGCAGGGGGTGGGGTGGCGGATCCTTCGTCGCCGACTGTAGCACGCGGAGACGAGGCGGCACAGGTGCTAGCAGCACTAGAGCTGGCGGCAGCGGCGCTAGCAGGAGCCAGCTGTCCGCGTCGGATGCGCGTGTATCCAGTCTCGTTCTTGAAGTTGAGCACAGCCGTGCGCAGAAAGCGGTTGGGGATGAGGTTGTTGGGCGATATGTCGGTCTCATGGCAGACAGGGCACTCGTGCTGCTCGGAGTCCAGAAGTTCCTGGCGCACACCTGCACAATATTCACGAGCACGGAAGAATTAGCAACTGATCGTCCCAGAACAATCACTCAGACTCTGTTTATTCACTTCCTTATATCCACTACACGCTACAGTCAAATTTCATTATAGCGAACCTTAGTATAACGATTTTTTCAAATAATTGAATATTTCGAACCCCCCCAAATGCCCATTGGATTAATTTAAAAATATTTCACTACTAGGAATTTCAGAAAAATGTAGCGAATTTTATCTTCTGTGAGGAGGTTTATTAGCCGTTAAAGACAGCGACGCGACAGCATGAAGAACCGTCCAGCGATCAGCACAGCAACGAACCGAAGCACGAGCCGAGAGAGCCGGGCGTTGGCGATGCTGCTTGCTGCAGGCACATCTTCACAATCGCCCCCGCTGAAAAAGGAGCCATCCTGGCGACCTAAGAAGTTTCAGGGAGAGGCTGATGATACGATTTTAGGCGGGAAACATGGATGATGTCACGTGCATGCCAGCGCATGTCATCCGATCGGGAAACTGGCTCAATTAGGTAATTAACCGGAGAGGTTTTCTCTAAAACGGTGTAAGGTCCCACGTACCGGGGGACAAGTTTTAATGAGAGTCCCGGAGTTTCGTATGGGATGGCAAGCCACACGATAGACCCTGGGGCATAGCTGGGATCCGGAAGAGAGGTGCAACGATTTTCTTTCTGGCGTTGCTGCTCGTCCGAGGTGAACGCACGGGCGAGCTGGCGGCACTCTTCGGCTTGTCGAGCAGCATCGGAGATAGGTGGACATTTGGAAGCATTAGGACGGTAGGGAAGTAGAGTATCAATTGTATGGGAAGGGCCACGTCCATAAAGAAGAAAGAAAGGTGAAAATCCCGTGGTTGTTTGTATTGCAGTATTGTATGCGAATGTGAAGTGTGCGGTTAAACCGTTCCGTTAGCCCATTAGTCTGCGGGTGGTATGCAGTCGTTTTCCGATGAATGACGTGGCATTCCGAAAGCAGAGCTTCGACGACCTCGGAGAGGAAAGCGCGGCCTCTGTCACTAAGGAGCTCTCGAGGTGCGCCATGTCGAAGGCTAAATTGACGTAAAATGAAAGAGGCGACATCCTGAGCGGTAGCGCTCGGTAAAGCAGCTGTTTCGGCGTAGCGTGTTAGATGGTCAACCGCCACTATAATCCACCGATTGCCATCTGGTAATGGAAGGGGGCCATAGAGGTCAACGCCAACGCGATCAAATGGCTTGGCAGGGCACGGAAGTAGCTGCAATTCGCCAGTCTCACGTAGCACTGTTGATTCGCGTCGCTGGCAGTCAGGACAGCACTGCACAAATTTGCGTACAAAATTGTACATGCCGCGCCAGTAATAGTGATGGCGAAGGCGTTCATATGTTTTGAACACCCCGGCGCGGCCACATTGTGGATCGTCGTGAAGAGAGGCGCATACCTGCGATCGTAAAGTGAGTGGAATGACCAGTAGCCACTGGCGGCCATCAGGAGAGTAGTTGCGTCGATGGAGAAGTTGATCACGGATGGCAAAATGGAAAGCTTGACGTCGGAGGGATCGAGATACCGGAAGGTTGGGCGTACCGGATAGATATTCGAGAAGAGATGCGATCCACGGGTCACGACGTTGTACGGTGGCACCTGAGTCAAGATTAAACGATGACAAGGTCTGGAGGCACGTGTTTCCACACGTCGGATCTGGTGGCAAAAGTGAGCGGGACAGGGCATCAGCGTCAGAGTGTTTGCGTCCGCAGCGGTATACGACGCGAATGTCATACTCCTGGATGCGGAGTGCCCATCGCGCAAGGCGGCTAGAAGGGTCTTTCAGCGTGGAGAGCCAGCAAAGCGCGTGGTGATCAGTTACTAGATCGAACGGGTGGCCGTATAAGTACGGCCGGAACTTTCCAAGCGCCCACACCAGAGCCAAACACTATTTTTCTGTCATGCTGTAATTAGTTTCGGCTTTCGTCAGAGTGCGGCTAGCGTAGGCTACAACGTATTCTGAATAGCCGGGGTTTCGTTGAGCGAGGACAGCGCCTAGCCCGACGCCGCTGGCGTCGGTGTGAACTTCGGTAGGAGCCGTCGGGTCGAAGTGGCGAAGAATAGGTGGAGAGGTGAGCAGATGACGCAGAGTAGTGAAGGCAACGTCACATGCAGGGGACCAGGAGGAGAGGTTCACGTCACCGCGAAGAAGCTGGGTTAATGGTGACATGATGGATGCAAAATTGCGAACAAAGCGCGGGAAATATGAGCATAGGCCTACAAAACTGCGAAGTTTCTTCATGGACGTCAGCTTGAGAAATTCTGCGACTGCTCGAAGTTTTGCTGGGTCAAGTAATACGGCGTGCTTCAACACAATGTGGCCTAGCATGACGAGCTCGCGTGCAGCGAAGCGGCATTTTTTCAGGTTAAGCTGCAGGCCAGTGTTGGTCAGACAAGTCAAAACGTGCCTGAGGCGGAGGAGGTGCTTAAGAAAGTCGTGCGAGAAAACCACGACATCGTCGAGGTAGCAGAGGCAGATATTCCACTTGAGGCCACGTAGCGTATAATCCATAAGTCGTTCAAACGTGGCGGGCGCGTTACAAAGGGCATGACATTAAACTCGTATAGTCCGTCAGGTGTAAAAAATGCAGTTTTTTTTTTGCGATCTGCTTCAGCCATTGGAACTTGCCAGTAGCCAGACCGCAAATCTAGCGACGAGAAGAATTCCGCTCCGTGAAGGGTGTCAATGGCGTCATCAATGCACGGCAAAGGATATACGTCCTTGCGGGTTATCTCATTCAAACGACAGTCCATGCAAAATCGGATAGATCCGTCTTTCTTACGCACCAGGACGACAGGAGATGCCCAGGGACTGTGAGATGGTCGAATGACGTCTCTACGAAGCATATTGTTACACAAGGCAAGGTAACTTAATGGGGGTTTTTAATGGGCCCCGAGTCCGCGATCACCGTCTAATGATGATGATCTCCACCGCCATGGCTCGTACCCACTCAGAGGGATCGCAGTGGAGGCAACGTTGTCTTCATTCTCTACCCGCGCTTCCCTTGTTTTTCCTGGTAGTGATACTTCTTATCATTCCTCCGGTCTCAGACGAAGCCCTCTGGGCGAGTCATTCTTGCATCCTTCGTGTAAACGGCTTCAGGCGGACAACGACGCTGGTTGCGCTTGTTGATGCTACAAGCCAAAATGAACATCTAGGCTTAGAAGGTTCAGCAGATGCCCAATTGCTAGAAATGGTCAGCAAGTCACTTGACCAAAGCGAACGTCATACACTGCTCAACGTTCTGTCTAAGCACTCGAAAGTGTTCGATTTTTCTAAATACAGCCAAAGGCCCTTAATCCCAGCGTCCCGGATACGTCATCAAATCCACACCGAGTCGGCGCATCCCATTAGGCAGAAACCTTACCGAGTGGCACCATCGGAGCGCAAGATCATCAACGAGCAAGTCCAAGAGATGCTGGAAAAGGGAATAATACAGGAATCAGCAAGTCAGTGGGCTGCTCCCGTCATTCTAGTGAGGAAGAAGGATCGTACGTGGAGATTTTGTGTTGACTACCGCCGACTGAATTCTGTTACCAAGAAAGACGTCTATCCACTGCCGCGCATCGATGACGCTCTAGACTGCCTGCATTCCGCGTCCTACTTTTCATCTGTCGACCTGAGATCAGGTTATTGGCAAATTTCGATGCACGCAGCTGACAAAGAAAAGAAGACATTCGTTACAACCGACGGACTTTACGAGTTCAACGTTATGCCATTCGGTTTATGTAATGCTCCTGTGACATTCCAAAGATTCATGGACTCTATATTGCGTGGTTTAAAATGGCATATATGCATGTGCTACCTTGATGATGTCGTAATTTTTGGGCTTACGTTTGAGGAGCACAACACTCGCCTAGACCTCTTGCTCAGCTGCATTAAAAAAGCTGGCCTTGTACTGAATTCAAAAAAGTGCCACTTTGGCGAGCGACAAACATTGGTGTTAAGACATCTCGTCGGCAAAGATGGCATTAGACCTGACCCACAAAAGACAGCAACCGTTGAGTCGTTCAAGCGTCCTAAATCTGTGAAACAACTGCGTAGCTTCATCGGGCTCTGTTCGTATTTCCATCGGTTCGTATCCAATTTTACGGACGTCGTTCAGCCCCTGACGAGCAGGCAAGAACAGCTTGTTTCAGTGGACCTCCGAGTGCGATGCCGCTTTTCACAAGCTGAAATGTTTGTTAACTTCGCAGCTAATACTTCGGCACTTCAATCCTTCGTCGCCCACGGAAATTCACACAGACACAAGTGGCATCGGTATCGGTGCCGTTCTCGTTCAGCGTTCTGGCAAGAAGGAACACGTTGTGGCGTACGCAAGTCGTTCTTTAAGCAAGCCTGAACGCAACTACACAGTGACTGAACAGGAATGCCTAGCGGTAGTCTTTGCCGTGCAACGGTTTCACTCATACATCTATGGTTGCCCGTTCACTATCATCACAGATCACCATTCCCTGTGTTGGCTGGTCAACCCTCGTGACCCATCCGGCCGCCTCGCATGATGGGCCATTCGTTTGCAAGAACATGTCTTTACCATTTCATACAAGACTGGCCGTCTACACGCTGATGCGGATTGCCTCTCCAAAACTCCGCTACCATCGACAGATTGTGAAGGCGATAACTTTGAGCACCTTATCGCTTCTCTGTCGTCTGGCTTTCCCGATGCCGTGACTTTCGCCGCTGAGCAGCGTAATGACCCAAGCTTCCCTGGAGCGAGGAATTTCTCTCTTCCCTGGAGCGAGAAATTCATTAAGCGAAGGCCGATTCTGTGTCCGAAATGGTCTTCTTTACCAGAGAAACTTGTCCACGACGGGCGCCCGCTTTCTGCTAGTTGTTCCTCCGTCCCTCCAAACGTCTGTTCTGCGTCTCACGCATGATGACCCCACCTCTGGCCATCTAGGCACCGCACGAACACTTAGTCGCACGAAAGAGCGGTTCTATTGGCCGAAAATGAGCAAGACAATTTAGAA